TGGAAGAAGGTGATGTGGTCAGATGAGACCAAAATAGAACTTTTTGGCCTCAACTCAACTCGTCGTGTTTAGAGGGCAAAGAACACCATCCCCACCGTCAAGCATGGTGGTGGCAACATCATGCTTTGGGGGTGCTTTTCAGCCAAGGGGACGGGACAACTCCATCGTATTGAGGGGAGGATGGACGGGGCCATGTATCGTGGAATTCTGGACCAACATCTCCTTCCCTCAGTGAGAGAGCTGAAGATGGGTCGAGGATGGGTGTTTCAGCACGACAACGACCCTAAGCACACCGCCAAAGCAACAAAAGAGTGGCTGAAGAAGAAGCACATCAAGGTTCTGGAGTGGCCTAGCCAGTCTCCAGACCTGAATCCAATTGAAAATCTTTGGAGGGAGCTTAAAATTCGAGTTGCCAGGCGACAACCTCGGAACCTGAATGATTTGGAGGCTGTCTGCAGGGAGGAGTGGGCCAACATCCCTGCCGAAATGTGCACAAACCTTGTCACCAACTATAAAAACCGTTTGACATCTGTGCTGGCCAATAATGGCTTTTCTACAAAATATTAACATGCTGTTTGTCCAGGGGGTCAAATACTTGTTTTTCCTCATCAGATGGTTATCAATTTTTATAAATTCATATGATGTGATTTTCTGGAATTTTCTTTGGGATTCTGTCTTTCACTGTTAGAATGTACTGTACATATGATTAAAATTATAGATCGTTGCATTCTTTGTAAGTGGGCAAACCTGCAAAATCAGCAAGGGGTCAAATACTTATTTCCCCCACTGTATATGCTTCCCTTAGGCAATATTATCAGGAAATATTCCATAAACTTTCATTGTTATGCAGATGATACTCAGTTATATCTATCGATCAAGCCAGATGAAACTCATCAGTTAGCTAAACTTCAAATGTGCCTTCAGGATGTTAAAACCTGGATGACCTGTAATTTTCTAATGTTAAACTCAGATAAAAGTGAAGTTATTGTTCTGGGGCCTAAACACCTCCGTGACGCATTATCTAAAGATATAGTTTCCCTTGATGGCATCGCCCTGGCATCCAGCACCACTGTGAGGAGCGTACTGGCCGTCCCATGACGCACTGACTGTCACGGACTGGGCCTCTTCCAGACTTGTGAGTTTGGTTTAGAACACCGTCACACATGTTCCCTGAACTGACTGGGCTGTGTTGCGTGTGTGATGCAGGCGCGTGCTCGGATCGCTACAATACGCTAACTTTATGTGTCTTTCTGTTGTGCATTCTCTCTGCCCGCCGAAGCAGATAGCCCGACCATTTCACCTGCCACAGCCAAAATGTCCACATTTGGCGGGTGTTGATTTCATCCCTGAACCCAACGGAATACAATAAATACACTCAGGTAACTCAGGCAGATGCTGCACACCAAAACACCGGCCGGACTACGGGAGGTAACTGCGGTGTTGTCGGAGAATCGCTTGTCTATCAGATGCGAGAGGCGTCACTTAGTTTTATTTTTGTTGGCCAACTTTTGTTTTGACACTTAGTATTTTTGGTTTCCTTGCTGGGATCCAGAAGAGGAGGTTTTTGTTGAGATTTAAACTCATTCATTGGTGGTTGAATTGTGGGCTTTGAATTGAGCACTGACTTCTTCAATATTATATATTACTGATTGCCATGACTTGACTCCCACATTATCTTTCTCTTAAATTATTATTATGCGATACTTCTCCACTGCTCATCAGGCAACACATTTTAGTCTGTCACTTTTTAATGTGCTTCCTTCTTGTCATGGCTGTCATACAGTATACAGTAATAATTTATTTCGATCTATTGAAATACCTGGTTCTTAAGTAATGTATAGAGCACATGTACTAAACGACACAAGTCCTTTGTGCATGCAATAAATATATTGAACATTGAATGACATTGTTAAAATTAAATTATGCCTAAATGAATGCTGAATATTATTCCTTCATTTCATGCATACACTTTAAAGGTGATAAATAAATGTTCAATGTTGTTCAATATTTAACACCTGCCTTACAAAATGCTTGCCTTGCATACATATTTCCACAATGAAATAATCCACTCAGGATCCAGTGGCGTCTTCTTATTCAATTTCACCCAGTGTTGGCAGTATAATGCCGGTTAGCTCAACTCTGAAGGCTCGCTCTTAACCATAGGGGGTTTTCTTAGGGACCATCAATAAATACTTTTGTTATAATAGTGTTGTGGAAAAATCATAATTTTTTTCATAAGCTTGGAACGCCAACCCAATGCCGAATTGTACTACTACACTGGGCAAATGAGACACAGCCCTTCATAATAACTTTGAGTGCTTTTTTAAGTTTATATTAATATTTATTCCAAATTTTATGGAAAAACAGCCTTTTTTTCAGGAGTCGCTGAATCACATGAAACAGAAGCTATTGAAAAAAGCTTTTTTTTCCATAAAAATATTAATAAAGCGAGGGCTTCCAAGCTCTTCTTTGCCCAGGGCCTCCAAATCACTAAAACCGCCACTGTACGTAGTGGAAGGGGTAGGACCAACAACACGGTAGAAGTGGGAAGCAGCAGCAGAGAGAGAGGCCAACAACCGAACGTCTTTTACAAGTTTCGTATACTATTTCATCACTAAATCCACTTCTGAGAAGTTTTGAGGCGAGAAATCAACTCTGTAGATGTCGACTATTATATAAACTCACGCGAACCGCGTTTTTTTTTTTTTTTAAAAATACAATATTTTCTAATTCATCTGACTCACCAATATCAGAGCTGCTTTTGCGAGTCAGGTGATTATGGGCATGATAAAATTCAGCAGCACTCTCTTTAGTCCTTAATGGGTACACATTATATGAACACCAACTTTTGATTAGTTTACAAAATAAAGGCCATGTAAACACTTCTCACAAACATGTTATATGGGCAGAGTTTATTGTTGTGATAAATGTATTCAGTCGTTAAGACCACAAACTTTAAATAAAAATTTACCTTCCTCATTAACTTTTATTACCACCGTCAAAGAATATTCCTTTATAAATACATATTACAGCCGCTTCAGATGAGGCAACTTGTGTCTACAATTGAAAGGCTGAGGTTCACCGCTGATAAAATGAAACATTGAGCCATGCTTCAACAGTATTTCAGGATACATCTTACTAAGGTGTCTTTGAAGCTCGAGGAAACTCAGCACTCAGGTTCACTTGAGAGGACAGAACTACTGAAACAGATTACAACATATAATATAAACATATTAAATACAAACATAATAGTTACACTGTTCCAACTGATCTGAATACTGATCTGACCTGACAATCTCGCAAACTGGAGACAGGGGTTTTTACATTTCAGTGAAACTTATGTTAGGCTCTATATTGTTCACATTATGAATGTTATGACTTTTTGAGGACCCATACATCTTATTACAAAAACTGCGTTCAGACACAGCTTATTAACTTTTATGAAGGCAGAGCTTTACTGTTTTCACAGTAACTTTATAGGGCTAAAGTAACATTAACTAAGCTAACAGCAGGTCCTAATAGTGCAAAGTGAACATTATCTCAATGTGTTAGCCAGCTAACTTCAAGTAATGTTAGCCTTTCTGTTAATAAAATACACAATTATAAAATTAATAATAAATACAATAATTAGTATAAGTATAATGTACTTTTTGCTGTTTTGAGTGCTTCACCCATAATGCTTATGAGTTAGCAGTACTGTTCAGGATAACAGTGTATGGAACTGTATTTTCACACACGCACACACACTACTTCATACAGTGTCATGAACAGAGTCTTGTCAGTCTGCTGCTGTAAACTATCATTTAATACTGGTGTCAGAGGAATTACACAATATCACAATGTTTTTTGGGCGTATTATTTGAGTTTATTTGTACTGACGTGTGCTAATGTTGGCTAAATCTCAAAGTTAGCTGAACATAGCTCTTTAGCTTTAGTATCAAAAGACAAGTTAATGTCTCCTCTACTTTGTGCAAAGTTACCTTTTTGAACATTCATACCTAACAAAGTTGTATTGCATGAAATGTAAAGTGCAAAAGTTTTACTTTTGAAGCAAAACAATAAAAAAGTTGTGCTCACCTAAGATTAGAGTGACCTTGACCACACGTGAACAGGAATTTGACCATAGACCAACAAGTCACACAAAAATGATTTTTGAGATAGAGCCTCTAGTGTTGGAGTTATGAGCAGTGTGACAATTTACCCCGCTCTCCCCTATGTTTTGAATTTTGACACTCGTTAAACCGAAGCACCGTGCCAAGGTAGTTATCCCCGACAGAAAGTGTTTCCCCACTTCGTAGCCTTTTATTCATTGCACTCAAATGAGAATGTCTACACAAGACGAGCATTTAGTTTCACTCGTAAAGCAAACATGTATTTCGCGATAGTCTGGTGATGTTATAACTGACCACGTAGTCGATCACTTTGTCAGCCATGTTACTGTTTAGAAGCTAGATTCAGACAGACTGTCACCTTTTCAAGTAAGCTGCTCCTACATACGCCATCGATACTGTATCAACATCACTGTCATCACTTTAACACTTTGCTTGCCTCAACGGTACATCTCCTTTACTCGGAATGTACATTAAACTGAATGCAGCATTGTAGACAAGAGTTTCTCCTTGTAATCCATGTTTCCCTTGCATGGCCTTTGGATATTGCTGGAAATTGTCCCCCTCCTTAAAGGGTAAATTATTATCCTAACAATTCAATAATGCATTGCATTTAAACAGAACTTGTCATACACAAAAAGCCATAACAGTAGCCTCCTACCAGGCTGGACATGCAGTCTGCCAAAATATGTTTCCCCCTCCATAATGCACAGATGACGGCCTACTGTATTTAATTTTGTGCAAACTTAACATCATGACTAATAACAGGGGTGAATTTGGAGAAGTTTCTCTTTTCCTAGCAAAAGTTATAGTGGAATACAAATAATTTCAGTCTATATATTCAACCTGCCATAAAATGTATCGCCACCACAAACCATTTCCAACATGCTGTGAAGCTTTAAAGGGCATTTATTTTGACCGCTTACTCTGAAACTGCTTTCTGGTTTCCTTGCATTTAGGAATTCTAAAAGCTTAGGCCTGAACATGGAGTGAGTCTCAAGTACACTTTCAGTTTTTATGTATAATACACACAGTATATACTGTATACATTTCTTCATTACTTGAACTACCTCAAACTATGTTTGGCCCGTATGACAATGTATATAGTGAGACAATAACTTTGTCAGCAGTTTTTGACATGCTCATACCACATGCTAAGTATTGGTTGATCAATCAATAGAAAGAGATACTCTGCAATTATTTTGCTACATAAGGTCATTTTCCATGCAATAATAATAATTTTAAATTGTGTAAAACTTTTTTTTAACCACAAAAAAGAGGAGGGACACATCCATATTTTTTAAGATAAGACAACACAAACATGGATGGTGTAATGGCACACAACAAAATGTAATGAATCACTTCCTTCAGTACAATAGCATATTGCTGTATAAAACATTTTCTGTAACTATGCAGGAGCAGAAGGAGTACACATGAAGGCCTCCTCGGCTGGTGGGCCTTTAACGCACTTATGGTGGAACCACTGCAAACAAATGTCACACTGGATCTGGAAAACAAAGAATGTGGATTTTTTTAAAAAGATATCTTCAGTAAGAAGCTGCAAATTTCTATTCTTGTGTAATTGACGTTATCTTTTTAATATATATAGTATTTCATGTGGAAGTACAATAATAAAATGTATGTTATTCCAGGATAAAATAGAAGAAATAGAATATAAGAATCCAACATAGCAATTCAAGATCATTCTTAATAACTTTATAACAAAACATCTCATTTCACATTTATTGCTTACCCAAGTCAAGTTCGTGTCATGCTCCTCTTCCCCACAGAAGTGACATGTCACTCAGGTCATCTTGGAAACAACAACAAAAAAACCCACATGCATGCTTGTTTCGTGAATTTAATCTCACTATCATACTATTTAGGTAACTACTGAATAATTCTGATAGCTGCATAGTATGTTTTTACAGAACGGACAGTTATATTGATTGCCAAAACATTCCCTCATAGCTTATACTTACCAGTCTCTAGGAGAAGAGTGACAGCGATTTGCAACCTGTGTTTGATGATGTCCTCTTTTGTTGCAGGAAAAGCTACAGTTGCCTTTTTCAAGAGTTGTTCTGCAAACTGAAAACAACATTGTTAAAAAATCATGTTACAGAGACATTTTTTTAACACTTTTAACTGTACAATAGTCATTTAATAAAGTGAGGGTGAGTACTCATACTTTCAAGGCAAACACTCCACATGAAGTAGTGTCCGATTGTTTGGGATGTGGGACTGTGTCACATGTCCACCTTGAGACATTGCAACCTTTTTTTCGCATGAATGCCCTGAAGACAATAACAACTTAAATATATATTGTTTTTAAATTTTGTCACACACAAAACCGACGTTTTTAGGGGTCAATGCCACCAGGTGTCTGTACCACAAAGCAGGTTCAACATACCCAGGATATCTTTACGTTATCTGGCTTGTTTTTGGCTTCGTGTGCTGTCTTTAAAGTTAAGATAATAGTTGAATACTGAGCTTAATGGTTAAATTACAGGGGTTCATGCTGGTTGCTGCCCTCTACTGGTCAGAGTTAATAATTTAGTGAAGCACACTCTTCAGTTGAAGACAGACAGGCAAGATAGACAGTGCTGGGTTCATGTTGCTGAAAGTATATCTGATCCGCTTTTGCCTTGGAGACTATGTGCCTGTAAGTAATATGTAAATCATTTTCAATCACTTGCATTTGCAAGGAATGTCATGTTAGACACGTTTTTATGCTTTGGTAAAAACATGTGGAATGTTAGCTAGCAGCACAGCAGTAGCTAGCCTGTTCCTTAATTGTTTTGTGACTTGTAGATGTTGTGGTAGGTGAACTGTGTTCTCATACAGGAGGCGTAATCACATGTTGTATACAGTAGGCTACAGTGCGTGTTTTACACTTTGATAGGGATTGTGTAGTAACATAGTTATATGTATCAGATGTAGTCTCTGTATGCATATGTTCATGTTTGGATACTGATATATATTCTTATTCTGTTATGTTTCAGTTTTACAAAACAAAACAAAAGCGGAAACCACTTCAGTAAAATACAAGAAAAGTCAAGCCTTGTGTGTTTACTGGAGGACTTTTGAATGTTAACTGGCTGTCTAGCTTTGCTCAAGAGACCGCATTGCAAGGGCAGCACACTTCGTATTATACTATTATTGTAATATTTGTATGCTTGTACATTTTTCAATCTCCTAACTTTTTATATATTTAGATTTATGTTTATGAAGCTGTTGCAGTAAAATGTGCTGCTTTGTGCAGTAAAAATAGGAGTAAAAATGCAATTTGGTTTCTCTTGAGTGATAGTGACACCTACTGTTAAACTTGTGAATTACACTAAATGAAGCGCATGATGGGCTCACATGATCAATTAAGAATAAGTGATTGTAAAGCTGCTATCAGAAGCTGAAAAAGAAGAAAACAGAGTTCCAGAACAACATATTGCGACATTAGAGGATTGTAACCCCTCCTAAATTTCTGTGCAGAAAGCGCAAATAAAATTGGCACATACCGTGTGTATGTGGACATTACATTTTCACAGAGTTGATCTCTTATCTGGAACATAACCTGCTCTGGAGCAGGTTAGCCGTTCAGCATAAGTTACCATGGAGATCTACCCCGTTAAGAAGTGAACCACCGTCGTGGTACTGAAAACCCAGGGTTAACCACGAAGTTATCTCAATAAGTTCAAATCCTGCTTTGTGGTACAGGCCTAAGGATATGTGCATTTGTGGACTGCATATAACAAAAACAAAATACCAATTACCCCTATCAAATGCTCACATTTTTCTTTTCTGCTTTCTTGTTAGATTCACAAGCTTTTCACATTTCATAAAGAATGAAAAGCTCTAATTCTGTCAAAAATCATGTGCTGCCAACGTCTTCTTTCTCTGTTAACATTATTTTGTGTTATAATTATATTTTAACAGCTATCCTTACCTTGTTATTTCCAGACATTTTTTGATGTCTTGCTTAGACTCCCCCAGTGGATCCAGGAACTGGGACTTCTTTTGTTGTGGGTAGATGACCTAAATATTTTTATGACAACAAATTAAATGCTATTTCTTTACTTACTGAAATGTATTATGAAACATAATATTATGCACCTCATATTTCTTCTGTCACATAATACAGTAGCATGTTAAGTTATATGTGTATAGTCATTTTTACCGCTAGTGTCCAGTGGTGATGCTCATTTATAATTCCCACAATGATTTCGTACTCCAGGGGTTTTTATCTAAAATTAAACAAAAATTATGAGTGAATAAATTTCTAATAAAAGGTTGTTCAAGGCACTGCCTAGAAAAATATTGAATATATATCATGTTGTTTTATTAAAATGAAAACTTATGTGAAATTAATCTTATTAGTACATGAATGAGATTCATTATACCAATACAGACCTTGAGTCTTGGAGTCCTTCTTTTCCACATTGCTGTCATTGCAAACGAATCAATGAACGCTGCTTTTGTAGTATTTTGGTGATGGTAATCACGCACCATGCCCGCTAGATATGCATTAATTGACTGTTAAGAAAGAGATAAGATAGAATGATTTAAAAATATATTGAGTCTACAGCTGATTTACAAAACATTTAACGCTATACATAATTCACTTTCCAGCTCCATGTTCGGACCAACTTGTTGAATATCCCCTAGTTTAGAAAGGATGCATGGGCATCGTTTCCTGCCCATGCATCCTTTACATCTGCCAAAAATAGTGAATAATGAAATAAAAGAATAATTTTAAAAATCTAGCAAATCAATGTGGAAAATATAAGTGGCAATTAAAATGCATCAACAAATCGTGATAGAGATAATTATTACATCAGTGTGCCTAGATGTTAAAATCTCTTCAATTAAAATTTATAATAAATCTTACATTTCTCTGCAACACCCTTGGTATAACCATATGAGGATGCAGGGCCTGTATATGGTGGGGCTGGTGCTTGTGGGGTTCCTGATGATTCAGGGCCTGTATCTGGTGGGGCTGGTGCTTGTGGGGTTCCTGAGGATGCAGGGCCTGTAGCTGGTGGGGCTGGTGCTTGTGGGGTTCCTGATGATGCAGGTCCTGTAGCTGGTGGGGCTGGTGCTTGTGGGGTTCCTGAGGATGCAGGGCCTGTAGCTGGTGGGGCTGGTGCTTGTGGGGTTCCTGAGGATGCAGGTCCTGTATATGGTGGGGCTGGTGCTTGTGGGGTTCCTGAGGATGCAGGTCCTGTAGCTGGTGGGGCTGGTGCTTGTGGGGTTCCTGAGGATGCAGGGCCTGTAGCTGGTGGGGCTGGTGCTTGTGGGGTTCCTGAGGATGCAGGGCCTGTATCTGGTGGGGCTGGTGCTTGTGGGGTTCCTGAGGATGCAGGGCCTGTAGCTGGTGGGGCTGGTGCTTGTGGGGTTCCTGAGGATGCAGGTCCTGTATATGGTGGGGCTGGTGCTTGTGGGGTTCCTGATGATGCAGGTCCTGTAGCTGGTGGGGCTGCTGCTTGTGGGGTTCCTGAGGATGCAGGGCCTGTATCTGGTGGGGCTGGTGCTTGTGGGGTTCCTGAGGATGCAGGGCCTGTATCTGGTGGGGCTGGTGCTTGTGGGGTTCCTGATAATGCAGGTCCTGTAGCTGGTGGGGCTGGTGCTTGTGGGGTTCCTGAGGATGCAGGGCCTGTAGCTGGTGGGGCTGGTGCTTGTGGGGTTCCTGATGATGCAGGTCCTGTAGCTGGTGGGGCTGCTGCTTGTGGGGTTCCTGAGGATGCAGGGCCTGTATCTGGTGGGGCTGGTGCTTGTGGGGTTCCTGATAATGCAGGTCCTGTAGCTGGTGGGGCTGGTGCTTGTGGGGTTCCTGAGGATGCAGGGCCTGTAGCTGGTGGGGCTGGTGCTTGTGGGGTTCCTGATGATGCAGGTCCTGTAGCTGGTGGGGCTGCTGCTTGTGGGGTTCCTGAGGATGCAGGGCCTGTATCTGGTGGGGCTGGTGCTTGTGGGGTTTCTGATGATGCAGGGCCTGTATCTGGTGGGGCTGGTGCTTGTGGGGTTCCTGAGGATGCAGGGCCTGTAGCTGGTGGGGCTGGTGCTTGTGGGGTTCCTGATAATGCAGGTCCTGTAGCTGGTGGGGCTGGTGCTTGTGGGGTTCCTGATGATGCATGTCCTGTAGCTGGTGGGGCTGGTGCTTGTGGGGTTCCTGATAATGCAGGTCCTGTAGCTGGTGGGGCTGGTGCTTGTGGGGTTCCTGATGATGCATGTCCTGTAGCTGGTGGGGCTGGTGCTTGTGGGGTTCCTGATGATGCAGGGCCTGTAACTGGTGGGGCTGGTGCTTGTGGGGTTCCTGAGGATGCAGGTCCTGTAGCTGGTGGGGCTGCTGCAACCACTGAAGTCTTTCTTTTTTAAATCCCAGTGTGGCACTCTGGGTGTGTCGTCAATGCTTAACTTCAGTTGGTCAATGTTAATCTTGCGGAAGATTGACCCATTAGCATCCTCGAGATCAGCATTTTTGCCCTGGATTGCCTTAATACTGTATGGTCCCAAAAAGCTAGCTTCCAATTTTCCCCCCTTCCTCTGTTGGCTTCTTATGTTTTGCCTCCAAACTTTGTCCCCGACTTTTAAGTTTTGTGTTTTGTCCTTTTGACTTTATTTTGCCCCTCGTTTTGTCTTGTCCCTTTGCAAGATTGTCTCTGACAAGTTCCATCAGTGTCTCTTGTTGTTGAGCGTCCTGTGCCAGATCTTCTTGTCCCACTATGTCTTCCACAGTGTTGTCAATCTTTGAACAAAACAACATTATTTGCTGTTAGAAACACTTACATCAGCGGATCTCAAACAAACACTGTTATGCACACCT